ATTAAGTGTTTCATAGATTCTAAATTCTAAGGCCAGAAGGGACTAGCATGATCATCTCTTGTCTGACCTCGCATACAGCATAGGTCATAGAACTTCCTCAAAATAATTCCTAGAGCAGATGTTTTAGAAAAACATTCAATCTTGATTTAAAATGGTCAGTGATGGAGAATCCACCATTGGTTCCAATGCTTAATTACTCTCATCATTAAAAATATATGCCATATTTTCAGCTGAATTTATCTAGTTTCAACTTCCAGCCTTTGGATCATGTGATCCTTTCTCTGCTAGACTGAAGAGCCCTTTATTAAGTATTTGCTCCCCATGTAGATACTTATAGACTGTAATTAAGGCAGCCTTTAGTCTTGTCTTTGTTCATCTAAATAGATTGAGCTTGTTAAGTATATCACTATAAGGAATATTTTCAAATTCTTTACTCATTCTCCTGGCTCTTCTCTGTACCCTTTTCAATCTATCAACATCCTTTCTGAATTGCGGACACCAGAACTGGGCACAGTATTCTAGAGTGGTCACACCAGTGCCAAATACAGAGGTAAAATGACCTCTCTACCCCTACTCAAGATTCCCAGGATTACATTAGCTCTTTTGACCACAGCTTCACACTGGGAGCTCATGTTCAGCTGATTATCCACCGTGACCCCCAAATCTTTTTTCATAGTCACTGCTTCCCAGGATAGAATCCCCCATCCTGTAGGTATGACCTCAGATGTATATATTTACATTTGTTCTCAGATGTATATATTTACATTTAACCACATTAAAACACATATTGTTTGCTTGCATCCAGTTTACCAAGCAATCTAGATTGTTCTGAATCTGTGACTATTATTTACAATTCCTCCAATTTTTGTGTCATCTGCAGACTTTATCAGTGATGATTTTATGTTTACTTCCAGGTCATTGATAAAAACAGTACAATAGTAGAAGGCCAAAAACAGATCCTTCTGGGACCCCACTGGAAACAGACCCACTCGATGATGGTTCCCCATTTACAGTTACATTTTGAGATCTATCAGTCAGTTAGTTTTTAATGACTTAATGTGTGCCATGTTAATTTTATATTTTTCTAGTCTTTTAATCAATCTTTTAATTAATGCCTTACAGAAGTCTAAGTATATTATGTCATTATTACTTTTATCATCCAAACTTGTAATCTCATAAAAAAATATATCAAGCTAGTTTGACAGGATCTAATTTCCATAAACCAATGTTGATTTGCATTAATTACATTATTCTCCTTTAAGTCTTTATTAATCAAGTCCCATATCAGCTGCTCCATTATCTTGCCTGCGATTGATGTCAGGCTGACAGGCTTATGATTACCTGAGTCATCCTGTTTACCTTTTTTAAAAAAAATGGAACAACATTAGCTTTCTTCCAGTCTTCTGGAACTTTCCCACTTCTAATGGTCCATCAAGCTCCTCAGCCAGCCCTTTTAAATCTCTGGATGCAAGTTATCTGCACCTGCTGATTTAAAAATGTCTCACTTTAGTAGCTTCTGTTTAACATCCTCCAGAAATACTAGTGGAATGGAAAGAGTGTTATCATCACCGTATGATGAGACTGTATCATCTGTTTTTCCCCAAATACAGAGAGAAATATTTATTGAACACTTCAGCCTTTTCTACATTATTATTGCTTGTTGTACCATTTCCATGTAGTATTAGATCAGTACCATTCTCAAGATTCTTTTTGTTCCTATTATATTTTAAAAACTCCTTTGTTAACTGGCCAGGCCATAGATTTTTGTCCTCTGGCTTCTCTTATCAATTTTACACAATTTCTAACTTGTGATTTATATTCATTACTATTAACTTCCCCTTTCTTCCATTTGGGGTGTGTGTGTATAAATGAAGGGCAGCTGTAAAATATAATATATATTATATACAGCTTCCTTCATTTCCCCTCTAAACCAGCTTGTTTTTTTTTTTTTTTAACTGGCATGGCCTACTTCCACATTTGTGGGATTGTGGCATTTTTTGGGCACCTAGAAAGGTGTCCTTAAATTATTCCAATTTATCATTCAATTTTTTTCTGATTAAATTCTTCCTCCCAGCTGATTTGGCTCATAATTGTTTGCAGCTTTGTATAGAATCATAGAATCATAGAATATAAGGGTTGGAAGGGACCCCAGAAGGTCATCTAGTCCAACCCCCTGCTCGAAGCAGGACCAATTCCCAGTTAAATCATCCCAGCCAGGGCTTTGTCAAGCCTGACCTTAAAAACCTCTAAGGAAGGAGATTCTACCACCTCCCTAGGTAACGCATTCCAGTGTTTCACCACCCTCTTAGTGAAAAAGTTTTTCCTAATATCCAATCTAAACCTCCCCCACTGCAGCTTGAGACCATTACTCCTCGTTCTGTCATCTGCTACCATTGAGAACAGTCTAGAGCCATCCTCTTTGGAACCCCCTTTCAGGTAGTTGAAAGCAGCTATCAAATCCCCCCTCATTCTTCTCTTCTGCAGGCTAAAAATTGGCCCTATTAAATTGGCCCTATTAAAGCACCATATATTATTCATCTGGACTTCTATTCTGCTTTCACATTATAAATGTGATCAAGTCATGATCACTTGTACCTAAGCTACTGTTAACTTTTAGTTCTCTGATCAGTTCCTCTTGATCTGTTAGGACATGGTCTAATATAGAAATCCCCCTGTTCACTGCAACACTTTTTGAATTAGGAAATTGTCATCTGTTATGTTTGGAAATTCTAAAGATGTTTTAGTACTGACCTTATGAGATCTCTACCATATGTCACTCAAATTGAAGTCCCCCATGATCACATAAAGCTTTTTTCCTATATGCTATAGACAAGTGCATAAGGAGGTGGTCATCCTATACCCTAGTGTGATTTGGTGGTCTATAGCAGATACCAACTAATGCCCCATCCTATGTTTTATTTGTTAAGACATGGATCCATAAGCATTCAAGATCATTTTCTTCTGAGTTATCAGTGAGTCAGAAACAGGTAATGCCATTTTTGATGTAGAGTGCCGCTCCCTTCTCCTTTTGCCCACTTGATCCTCCCTAAATAGGTTATAATGTTAGATTATAATGATTTTAACATTCCAATAGTCCAAATCCTCCCTCCCTCCCCCCCGTTTCTGTAATACCAACTAGATCGAGTTTATGCTCATAAATGTGCAATTCCAATTCCTCCTGTTTGTTATACAGGCTATTACGTTGAAGTATAGGTAATTCAAGAATTTCTTCTCTTCATGTTATTTGGTTTCTTGATTAATTTTTTTCTCAGTATCTCAATTTTGTGCTAACTGAATGCTTGTATCTTCCCTTTTTTTACCCTCCCCTTTTGCTGTTAGTGGTATGATGGGCTCTGTACATGTGACAAGTGATCTCACTGGTAGATTATTTGGTCCATCTGTCACTAATCTTTAAAGATTCTGTGATTGCAACTTGATTGGGAATCAGTGCTTGGAAAGCTCCTCTTAGCGTTGCTGACTCCATTGTGCATTGGAGCTATGACAAATTACAGCAGCTGAAGATTTGCCCCCTCAGGCTACATGGCTGGAGAAACTGTGGGAAGCAGGGGAAGCCTTTAAAAAACAGAGACATTGGAACTTTGGGACTGGGCTTCCTCCACCTCCTTCATCTAATACCAATATCACTAACACAGCCCTCTAAACCAGCAAGTCAGTTGCAAGTTAAGGGTTATACTCAACAGAACCCTTTGGCTGCTGCACTGTTCTGGTGATGCAAAGCAGCTGCAAATCTAGCTTTATTGGTTGGTGCTCTCTGGATGCTTTGCACTGCTCTAGTGTACTCCGGAGCGTGCACAGGAATTTAAATTTGACGGCTTTTTGGAGGGGCATGTTCTGTGGCCCACTGTGGCCCCAGGGCCAGAGGAGCTCACTCTCCCTGCTGCAGCCCGGAGGTGAAGGAGCTCTCTGCCCCCACCGTGGCCCTGGGGCTGAAGAAACTTGCTCTCCCTGCCCCAGCCGCAGAGCCAGAGGGGCTCTGTGCCCCCCCTTTGCATGGCCCCAGTGTACTAGTGAATATGGCCTTGAAAGCTGAAATTTAAAAAAATGATTTAAGGTTGATGCTAAATATCTTCCTATCAACAGAAATAGTGCACCATCTTTGGGTTTCTTATCTAGTGTTTATATATCCATTTTTAAATTATTAAAACAAACAAAAATGAAACTTCCTAGACCCAAAACTGCACTAAAATAGAGTTAAGGTTGAGAGTACTTATCAGAAACTTAAGGGTAAAAAAACATTACAGGGATGCTTTATTTATATCAGAACCGTGTATTACAAACCCAAGAACGTCAGAGTTGAGGTTATAGTTAAAAGAAATCCAGACATGCCACAGTATGGAAATACACAATTCAGGCATCCAAATAACTTTGACTCCGCCCCGTAATAAAGCTATAAAGAAAAAAGAACTCCCTAAGGTCTTTGAAAATCAATGTAGTCTAATTTGTGACACACATATTAAAATATCAGTATAGGGCAGAGTGAAAGTACAAGATAGTTCTAACTAAGCTTCACAAACTCTGAGATAGGTAAGAATCCACCCCTCACTGAAATGCAGCCATCTGTGAGGTGAGATTCAGCAACGCTACACAACAGTTTAGGGAATAAAGAAATATATTGGCCTAGTTGAAATTGTAGAGGGAATCTAAATAGGTAGGTGTGAATAACCCACATTCAAATTTGGCTAGGATACCCGTAATTTTAAAAAAATGTATTTTAAAACTAGAAATGTGTTTATAAAAATAAATTTCCTGTACTTTACAACAGCTGAAGAATTCTTCTTCAAAATGGATTATACCTTGATTATCTCAAAGTTTAAATAATGATGATTGGAATTGTGTCATTTGAAGGTGTTGAACTGTGAACCACCATGGATTTAAAATTAATTCATTATATGAAACAATTCAATTTTAAAAATTTGCTTTCCACAGAAAGCTTTAAAAAACACAGTGTAACAGTGGTCTAAATGAATGAAGAACTTTATTATTCTTGTAGCAGAAACAAGCAATATTATTGGGGTCTGGGATAATAATACAATGTTTCTTTATTATTTGGAGTTTATTTTGGATTTTCACTAGCATATTTGATCCCTGATGTAATATATCTTGAACCAAGGAGAACACTGTGAACACTGCAGTGAAAATGCTTCCCTAAATGGGAACATTGTGATCAGGGTCATCTGCTGACACTGAATCTGAACACCCAGTCACTTTAATCTGACTATCAAGCCATGCTCAAAGCAGCATCATGCTCATGAACAGGACAAGGAAGGTCTAGAGCTAGTGCTTTAACCCTTTCATCCCCGCCTTTGTCTCTCACATTTGCTAGCTGTCCATCCAGCTGTAAACATTTTATAATATAGCATTTTGTATATTTTATATCAACCTTGGAAGTCTGATGCCATTTTTTCCCAGCTGAAAAGCTGTGTTGAGATAAACTCAGTAAAATTAAAAAGGCATTTTCTTACTCTTGCTCCACAAATGAATAAATGCTGCCCCCTGCTGGAACATTTGCAGATAAAACGTCATCTGTGTTGAGGTGGCTCGTTGTTTTTGCTTGCTAAATGGAATTGAGAGAAAATATATTGTATTAAATAAATAAATAAATAAATGTATTAAAATAATCACCAACCTCGTCCTCTAATGGATGGAATCAACATTGGAACAGAATTATTACCATTTTATTATATAATATTAGGGTCAATATAAATTTTTACAGTGCTTGGGATTTGTGTTCGCTGGTTTTGCTGTACCAAATATTATCACGATCAACTACTGCTTCTACTTTCAGAACAACATTTTACAGTGGCCAAATAAATGCATGCCAACTGTGGTCTGGCTGAGTGTGTCACAGGGGCATGTGTATACATACATGGAAACAAAGGACAGGTATTTCTGGAAAGACTTATGAACACTGCCATAATTTTCAAACTTGGGTCCTTAAAGTAATGCAGCCAATTAGATGATAGTTCTTTGAAGGTCAGTAAGTCAGATCTGCTTGTAAATACTGATAGAAAAAGTTCCATAGGAATTAGGGATCAGCTACATTTAGAACCTGTCCCCCCAATACCACTCCATCCTGGCAAACTTTGCCAAGGTCTACAATAAAGGGCACGTTCCCGGTATCTAACTACTTGCCACGATTTTCTTGCCTTGGGTGACATCAGCCCCAGCAGTCTGGCTTCACCTCTAGCCATCTTTGCCCCATTCCTTGCTTCCCCGCCTTCTTCCTCCCCTTCTCCTGCAGTTGTGGTTTATGGATTATTTAGCAGTCTCTTTTGCAGCCCACCACATACAATGTTTCCTTTATTTCTGCTTTATTTACTAAGGACCCAGTCCAATGCCCACTGAGGTTGGTCAGAGTCTTTCCATGGCCGTCAATGGGCTTTGGACCAGACTGTCTGTGTACAGGAAAAATGGTGAGTTACAAAAGCAGCTTTGTTTCATAACCCTTTTATTAAGTGATGGAATGTTAACGTTACCATTCCTGTACAATCCCAGCTGCACATTTTGTCCAGTCAGTTTCCTCAACCAACACAGACAAGTAAAACCAGATTAAAGAGAAGAGAGCAAGTGGGAAATGGAAAGTCTAGTCTAGCTGCTCTTTCCAATTTGGTCGTAAGTGGATGGTGATTGTTGTCCACTCCCAGACCAGAGTTGTGGCTCTTTCCTATGATAGCAGAGTCATTGGTTCACCTGAGGTCAGTTTCGAAAGGCTTGCTCGGAGGTGAGGTTCCATTGTTACATTAAGTTCTCTTCCAGCGGAGACAGAGTCAGAGGAGGAAGCAAAACCAAATCCAGGCCTGACCAGTGTTCCTTGCTGAAATCCAGGAAACATCGAGGCCTGAAGTTCAACAGGCCAGGCTCTCATTAGATCTGTAACACAGCAGAAAACAAATGAATGCTAGTGCATTGTCATGACACTGCACATGCTGATCGTGACCCCCTTTCTTTCTCTCACCCTCCATCTTCTTGTTCTCCCTGTAATTTGGTTCCCTGTGTAGCCACACTGTAGCTCTACAGTTGCCCCTTTGTTGCTCACACTCTCTCCTATCTGGGGACACTGCTGGTGTTTGTTCACCCTCCCACTCTTTCCACTTCCAACTCTAGTCTCCTGCACACTATTGGTCATCTTCCATTGAATTCAACTGGAGCAAGCTCTTACCACATGCTGGGAAGCAGCTATCTGCTGGCCTCCTGATTCCCATTCCCCTTTTGACTCCTTGCTCTGCTTTGTCCTTGGCTCCCAGAATCAGAGTAAAAAAACACCCCAAAACATGTGTAACCCCCCTCCCCACACACACACACAAATGGGGGAGTCAAACTATTTTCCCAGAGAGCAAAACTCTAAATTGTCCTGTGTTAATGGGTTTAATAGTTCAAATCTGGCATTAATTAAGCCCATTTTCTTTTACATTCCCTGGGCTTGGCTTTTAGGAAGAGAAAGAGAATGAATGCTGAGCATGTGGATGTGAGTTCCAGTCTAAGCCTATGAGGAGATCAAGAGATTCTGTGGCCATTGTGGTAAACATGGCAGCCAAATTCCATTGGTTTGTTTCCATCAGAAACAACCAACACCTGCATGCTACAAACACCTCAGTAATGTTTTATGGCTTATATTAAACAATACAATACATGTGACTTTAACATTGAAATTTCCTCTAGCGGGAGCATTGTCTATGGAATACATAGGATTTTTGCTTCTGGAAAACAGTCTAAATTTTGTTCTCTCCTCTCTCCTTATTCTGGGTTTTATATCACCTATCTTAGGGTTTTGTACTGCTGTTGATCACAGTCGTATCTGAGCACACTTCGATTCTGTGTCTCCAGTGAAACCTGTCTTAAATCACTGCTTATTAAAGGTGATAAAGGTGGAACAAAACAGCTCAGTATAATTGGAGACAGACTCATAACAAGAAAAGAAATTGCTGATAGGTTTCACTATCTATGAAAATGTCACAAAACAAAATGCCACAGAGGCTGTCATTATAGATTTGCTCCTTGGTAAGAACAAGTCTTTGTGATTGTTTCTGCAGCTCCAGAATAATAATTTTCATTGAGTCAAGGCTGCTGTATTTGGGCTTCAGTAAGAGGTAAAGGCTGTGAGTACAGTCAGAATGGTACCTCTATAGCTGTGTTAATTACAGGTTAGAACTGGGCCTAAACCTGCCAGCTAGCATTAAGTCATTACTGGGAAAATATGGACACATTGAAGAAGCTCTGAGAGGAAACAACAAAAATAATTCCTGGACTGGAGGGACTCATTTCAGGGGAAAGCAAAGGTTGGGGGAATAGAGGGACCTCTACAAATATCTGAAGGATATAGACAAGAAGGAAGGAGAGGAATTATTCAGTATAATTCATGGGTATCAGACTAGGAATAATGAGATGTAGTTAAGATAGAGAAAATGTAGGCTGTGTGTTAGGAAAAAAACTCCCGGGAAGTAAGATATAATAGCTATTGGGAGCCTCATTGCTTGAGTCCTTTAAAACTAGACTGGACACAGAACTAGAAGAAGTATTGAAGGGAACCATTCTGTATTTTCAAGGAAATGCACTGGATGATTTAGCTCTAGCACTAGCTTCTATCATTCTGTTTTTGCCCTAGATAAAGTAAGTGACAGGTTTGAGAAATATAAGCACATTTGTGCATCACACAACAATAAATTATAACTTGCATCCTGTGAATTAATACAAGTTGTAGGGAACATCACAAAGCTGTGAACATTTTACTGTTCACAGGGGATGTTTTGCCAACTTACTTTGTTATTTTTCTGCTTTCCCTGTTGCTTTTCTCTCACCTCTGAGGGCATGTCTACAATTACCGGTAGATCGGCACTGCTGCAATCGATGCAGCGAGTGTCGATTTAGTGGGTCTGGTGAAGACACGCTAAATTGATGGGAGAGCACTTTCCCATCGATTTATGTACTCTGCCTCCCCAAGAAGTGTAAGAGAAGTTGACGGGAGACGCTCTCCTGTCAACACAATGCAGTGTAGTCACCGTGGTAAGGGGATATAACTACGTCGACTTCAATTACGTTATTCACGTGAGTGAAGTTGCGTAAGTTAGATCAATTTACTGTGGTAGTGTAGACCAGCCTTGTGATAACTGCTGTCTGAATATCTGATGAGGTGACTTCCTTTATAAAAACTTCAAAACGTTTTTTTGATTCATTCTCAGCATTCGAAGTGTTAGACTGCAAATCATTAGGAGTTTGACTTCTGCCTACATGATACTGCACAAAACTGAACACTCTGAGTCAACTTTCCATGGAGATTAGCTCCCTGTGGTCATGCTACCTCCAGCCACTAACTTCTCAGAACTTTTCAACTAAGTATGATTGGCCTGGTGTGTCATTAGATGGGAGACATCCACGGAGACCTCTGTGAGCTGAACATGGGGTTGACAATTCAATAGGTAACACTTCCCTCTTAATGCCTTATCTATAGAGAAAAGCTACACCCTCTCCCACTCTTGCGGATGCTCTTGCAAGAGTGTTTTTCGGTTTAGCTTAAACCCCTTCCCGATTGACTAATGTTAGAGTTGTCAACTTTCTAATTGCTGAAAACCAGACACCGCTGCCCCACCTCTTCCCCAACTTGCTCCTCTCCCACCTCCTGCTATGGTTTGCACTCTCCCCTCCAGTGTTCATTCTCCCCCTCCCAGGAAGCTAGTGTCATTGAGCAAGAAGGTGCTGAGTCATGAGACTTAGAACTTAGACTCAAGAGGCCTCGGGGAAGAGGTGGGGCAGGGGTGTCTGGTTTTCAGCAATTAGAAAGTTGGCAACTCTAACATTAGGCCTTAGCACTCCCTGGCTTTCCTCCAGGTGCAGCCTACATGTTAATTGGCCTAATTTACCTCTTCAGGCCTTGTATGAGGTGGACATCCCTGTCACACAGTGTCTGATGGTTCTGAGTTCCTTGAGGAGAGCATCACACCGCTCCACCAGGTTGATTACATTGTTCAAATCAGCATTCAAATACAAGTGCTATTTGACTCCATGAATTCAACTTACAGGAATGAACAGAAATGACAGACTAATGCAAACTCATGAAAAAATGCTCTCATTACAAGTCACTCTGCAGTACAGAAAAAACCACTGCCTCTACTGTAGTTCACTACAGAGTATTACTTTGGCCCTTGGGGAGCAAAGCACTGAATTGACAGATGTGTCTTATTTTATTAAACACATTTTATTACTTAACTTACTTTTTGATTACTGTTCCTTAGCTCACTTCTGTGATTATCATTTCCTGCACTGCATAGTGCTACGCAGTAAAAACAGACTGTGAAGCCAAATGCAGTATAGCTCCTTCCCAGCTCCTTTCCTGCTACTACTCTCTATTACACCTGTGATTAACTTCATGTGGCTGGACTCCTGGGATTAAACAAGACCAGGGATTCAGTGTCAAGGTACCTAAGATCAACAGAAGGTTTCTTCAAGTTCAGTTGAGGTATTGTAGTTTAACAGGAGAGCCTGCTTTAGCTAGGCCTTCTTTCTGGTTCAGCCAACTGGTTCAGTCTCATGAACCCTTTCCTCACAGGGAGGAGGGGCTTAAATTGAATATTGTTTATTTGTGACTATACAAAGGCATAGGTCCTTCAGAGAGTTAATAGAACCAAGCCATGTTCTCCTGAAGAAAGGAACATGATGTTTCAGGAGTTTGGTAAAATGATACAGAGCAAGCTGGTGGAGCATGAGAGGTTTAAAAGAAGTGTTTGTTCTTTGCCTTTTGGAAAACTTTTTTCTCATGCTTGATTCCTTTCTACAACAAAATTCTCCACAGAAAAATCATGTAGAAAAAAACTCCAGTCTTAGGAGCATTCATTAAATGTCTCACCAGGCGGCACCAGCACCAAAACTTACCTTTCCACTGGAGAAGCTGGAGCCAGGTTTGCGAGCCAGCCAGTTCTCTCCATCAGCAGCTGAGCAGCTGCTGCTCTTCCCACCCTCTTGGCAGGGAGGCTGATTGCGGTTACTCCAGGAACCGGACTTTTAGTTTCCGGTCGCTGCCAGGTCCTCCATTCGACTGAACTTTCTGGTTGAAAACCAGACACCTGGCAACCTACCTAATGTGCTCATGAAATTCAGCTGGGGGAGGCGTGGGGCTGGGTTTTTAAAGACAGGAAGCTGGCAACAAAAAGGGGCTGTAGGGAAGTATCTGCAATCACTCCCTGAGTCCCTGGGAGGGGTGTTGGAGGCGGCCAAGTTCAGTAGTCTGCAGTTACTTCCTGGGAGGAGGGAGTTAGAGCTGGCACACCCAGAGGAGTGGAAAACCAGCAGCTGTAGGAAGGAGTTCAGGGAAAGAGCAGCAGGGTCTGAGGGAAACCAGACCACAATTGCCAGGTGCAGGGTCCCTGGACTTGAACCTAGAGTAGTGGGTGGGCCCGCGTTCCCTTACCAGTCATTGGGGAAGTGGTACCATCAGGACAGTGCGTAAGGAGACTGCTTGAGACCATTGGTATGGAAAGACTTTGATATCCCGGAAGGGGAAGACAAAAGTTACTTGGCTGGAGAGCCGAGCCATGAAGCCAGAGTACCCTGAGTCACAGGGAGTGAGAGAGAGAAGGCAGAGCATGCAGCGAGCCGCAGAAGGAGGCATCAGACCCGAGTGGAGCTAATCCCAGATGTGGCTACAAGGAGGCACCCCTAGTAGTGAATAGAGTATCCTGTGACACACTGTATTACCCCTCACCTCAGCAAGTGAGAGCTTTGCTACTGCTAACCTGTGTGTTAGCCCCCTGACACTCTAGACTGTCTGCCTTGCCAGCAAAGTCCTTAGATTCTGCCAGTCTGAACCTTGCCTTGCAGGTAACATTCAGTGAAACCAAGTTCCCAGGGACGTCTCCCTGCAGTGTCCAGTTCCTCTCACTGGACACTCACATAAATTATTATGGTTGCTGCCTCCAAAGAGACAGCGCACATGCCAACGTGTTACTTTAGTGGAAGACTCTCACTTTTACTTCAATATAACAGCAGTGAGATGGTTTTATAATAAAACAACAGTAAGTTTATTAATACAGATCAGAGACTTAATTGATATCAGACAAGAATAAAGGATATAGAAAAGGGTTGCAAACAAGAGACAAAGAACAGGCTTTCTAGAGCCTAAAACATCATTCTAGCATGCTATGCCTTTGCCTAGGACAGGTTCTCACTTACAGCAAATCATCAGCAGCTCCTGCCCTTCAGGCCAAGATAACCTACTGTTTGCAGGCTTGGAGGATGCTGGTCCCTATGTCCCTACATGATGGATGACTAGAATGTCTTTGCTCCCTGTATATTTTCCAAAGTCCATTGTCTTTTTCTCAAGAGCCAGGAAGACCTCCTCGGGGTGCGGACATCTGTCTCTCTAGTGAGCTGTTTCCTCAGTAAGCTCTTTCCTCTGCTGCTTGTTAGCTTGATTGCTTTGTTTACGTTATATGTAAATATACTTTCATTGTCCTCTGCCTGTAATCAACCTGATCAGACAGATGAAGTCATATTCCTTTGTCCAGGACAGGCTTGATTTATGCACTGCCACCAAAGCACCTTGTCAGAACATATTTCCAGCACACATACACAATTCTTTACATGCTTACCCTACCTACATCACCAGTTTACATTTGATACATACTATGACAGCAGTGTACAGGAGGTGTGTATCAGGCTTGATATGAGTTACATATGGTGGGCCCTCTGCCAGTGGGCACCGAAGTCCTCTTAGGGTCACAAGGGGAAAATCACAGACTAAGGCCTAAGGATTTTTTTTTCTGGTGTAAGTAAAATAAGGTTAATTTACCTGTCCCACTCACCAGATGTGCTGCATTGCAGAGATACAGGAACTGTCTTTTTCATAGCAGTCAGTTATCCCTAGAGAGTGTACAGACAGTTGAAGCACTCAACTGCAGCTTCTCCTGCTGCTTCTGCGCGAGTTTGAACAGACACAATTTGTTTTATGGGAGCTGGCACCCTCCCTTGCCAGTAGCACAAAGAATTGGCCTTTTGTAACCACACTGCGCACTTATTGTACCAACGCATGGCCTCTCTTGGCACATGTGGCCGCAAACATTTCAGTAGGAAAGTGCACAACCCTATATTGCTTGTTTATTTTATTCTTTTCGGGCTAGTTTTTTAGGTTAGCGACAGCCTCAAGTAACTTTGGTGCATAAGCTCCATAAACCTTGGGAGGCCCCAGGACACACTGTGACACAAAGCCACCCCTCTAAGTCATCATTCCCTCCCTGTACCCCTCTTGCTTTGGGAGTAAGTTACTTCACCCCACTCTTTATAGGGCAGCTTATTTCCTGCGTGTGCCTGGCCCACTACTCTGGCTGGTGAGTAGCAGGGAGGAGTCACGACTCACCCCAGGCCCTGCCCACTTTTTCTTTGTATGGCTGATGTAGATACAGAGTTAACAACTATAATTTTACATTCAGGTGGTTAAGCCAGAGAATTGCGTAAGCAGTAGCAGAGCATATTGCTGTGATGCCTCATTTATATCTCTGAACTGGGCATTGAGTCATTATATGTTCCATGGTCTGATCTGGGTGACCACAGTCACACACTGGAGAGTTTTAAACTTTCCATTTGTGCATCAAATATCCGCATCTGTCATGATTTGCATGGATGCTGTTTAGGGTTGCCCATGAACTTTGCAGAAGATCAAAGCCAGGGATCTTCTGCCTTTAGTCTTTCACTAGGGCCCCATCCCTGCCCCCCACCAGTCCTGCCCGCTGCCAAAGCTTGAAGCTGGAGCTGGGCCATGGTAAGAGCCATCCAAGGAGCCTAGGCTGTTCTGGGGAGCCCCAGACTCTCCACCTGCCCCAGGCACCATGTCCTGGAGGGTGGGGACATGTGCCGGGGGCTGCTCTTGGGCACTCCAGTGCCCCGCCCAGGGAAGGTCGAGGGTCCAGGGCTCCCCACAGTGGCCCAGGATACCTGGGTGGCTTTTAACATGGCCCGACTCCAGCTTCAAGCCTGGGCAGCGGGCAGGACATGGGAAGGGGAGGAGGAGGCAGCAGGGCCACAAAGAGGGACAGGGCCTCGTGGCTCCCCCACTTCTACTGAGGACAAAAAACAAATGTTCCTCCCCTGCCTAATTACACTAGATACCCTTATTTCTTACAACTTTACAGTTTGTATGAATTTTGCATGACTGATGACCCTGCAGCTGATCCACAGCACAGATAACTGCAGGACCAGTGGCATTGCAAACTTCCCATCAATTCCCACCAATGTACCACATCTGTGAGCTGGAGTTCTACCTCTGGGGACAAATTCAGTCTCCATGCCCATTCAGTCCTTCGCCTGTCTGCTGAGACTGCCAACAAGGGTACTAATTAATGCCAACTATGATTATGTATTTTAGACTGGGAACCACAGCTCATTTCACAGAGTTCATGAATTTATTTAGCACAGTCAGTTTCCACATGATGGGTTCTGTTGGGTTGTTGTGGTTTTTAATGTCAGCACTGTATTGGGGGCAGTGTTGTGCTGCATTAACCCCGGAGGAGCAATGCAAGGGACAGTGCTTCCTGGGGCTCTCTGGTATACTTGTTGCTAAGGTCCTTCAGGAAATGAAGCATTTGCTCGCCTGCACAACTGGCCAGCTCTTCTTGCCTGGTGTGGAGGAGAAGGCGGGGCATGGCCTCACCTCCACCATGCCTGTAGTAGCTTGGGAGCACAGGGGCAACAATTGTGGTTGGTTCTTGCACAGGGACTACAATGAAGAGGCTTCTTGTATCCTCCTTCTCTCTCCATGAACCCATGAGGTCAGCCACAACCTGATCTTCAGTAAGAATTCCTCAGCATGCCCCTGTCAGACAAGTATATTAGCTCACTTTTACATGTGGGGAATGGGGGCAAAGAGGTTACATGACTTGCTCAAGGTAACACAATGGTTCCCAGCTCCTTGCTGAGTTCACTAGAGCACCATGAGTTGCTACCATTAAGGCTACAGAAAGTAACAGATTGCAGATTTCTCGCCCACCAGACAGGACTACTGTCATCATAGATCCATAGACATTAAGGTCAGAAGGGACCATTATGATCATCTAGTCTGACCTGCTGCACAGTGCAGGCCACAGAATCTCACCCATCCACTCCTACAATAAACCTCTCACCTGTGTCTGACCTTCTGTATAACCCAGGCCACAGGACTTCCCCAAATTAATTCCAGGGAATTAATTCCAAATTTATGAACTACAACATAAGTTTTAGAAAAACATCCATTCTTGGTTTAAAATTGCCAGTGATGGAGAATCCACCACAACCCTTGGTAAGTTGCTCCAATGATTAATTACCCTCACTGTTAAAAAATTGTGCTTTATTTCTATTCTAAACCTTTCCAGATTTAACTTGCACCTATTGGAGATTGTTATAGATTTGTTGGCTAGATTGAAGATTATCAAATTTCTGTTCTCCACATAGGTACTTATACACTGTGATCAAGTGACCCGTTACCTTCTCTTTGTTAAATGAAACAGATTCAGTTCCCTGAGTCTATCACTATACGGCATGTTTTCCAATCCTTTAATCCTTCTCCTGGCTCTTCTCTGAGTCCTCTCCAATTTATCAACAGCCTTCTTGACTCATGGACACCAGAACTTTGAATGTATCCTGACCTGGATGGGCATTGTAATTTATTTTTTGCGAATAGAACTGTAGGAATACCCAGAAACATACGCTTTGTCTACCCTTGTGGCAGGATGTAGGGTATGTGTAGATACATGCCACAGTGAAAGACTGGCTATGTCCACGCTGCAGTGGGTAGCTACAAGCGCCTGCAAAAGGCTCTGGCAGGGGCAGAGGAAGCCTCTGGCTGCCTGCTGCCAGAGTCTTTCCATGCAGCCAAAGCCTTTCACAGAGGTGGGAAAAGGCTCCAGCACCAGAGAGGCAGCAGGGCACTCCATTGCTAAAAATAGCAGTGTAAACATGGGCGGCACGGCTTGGGTAGATAGAGCGCTGTATAGGGTGTACACCGCAGAGGTCTGGCATATCTGTATTCTCCTCACCCAAGCAGTGCCTCACATCTACACTGATATTTGTACTCATGCTAGGTGAGACTGCAATGTCTGTACTCTATATGCAGCTGTAAGTGCAGCCTTGCTTCTAGAGACAAAAGTCACTCATTAATGCTCCTGTAACATTCAGGGGAGAGAATAATGTCAGAAATTCAAAGCACCTTTGGTTTAGAACTAGGGTTTTATTTTTATTTTTATTTGTACTTTCCCCCTGTCAGCACTGATGTAATTTTTAATGTGTAATTACTGTAGGCAATGTATGCCCCCATCTCTGCAAATAATTAATTAACAAGTCAAGTGACCTGCCAGAGGTGGGAAATGCTGACAACGTGCACATAAAGGATAAGTTCATATTATGCAACCAAGAATTTATATTAAAAATCCTTGACATCCAGGACTTAGGAACACCGTGAAAATACTATAACCATAGACACAACCATGAAGACATACAAAACCCAGAAAAATGAGTAAAAAAACCTTCCCCACTACATACAAGCAAAATACGGAAGCAAAAACCTTTTTTTTTTTTCAGCAAAAAATCACTTACTGTGTTCACTCAATATTGATTGGGCCTGATTTTGCCACCCTTATTCGTCCTGGATAGTATCTTACTCTGTTGGCCCACTGAAGTCAATATAAGTAAAGATGGCAGAATTAGACCACTGTGTCAATGCCTGAAAATACTATCAGAAGGTGAGATTCTGCCACTCTTACTCATGCTGACTAGTACCTTCCCCCATGAGAAGTCCCACCGAAATACATGGGAATACTTGTGGAGTAAGGTACTATTCAATCTGTAGCAGAATCTAGCCCAGCAGTAGGGACAGATGCCATCAACCCCCAAGACAAAATTTCCAGGAAAGAGAAGGGACAGATTCTTTTACTAATAGTTATTACTGGTATTGCAGCAGTGCATAGGATTCCCAGTTATATACCAGGACCCCATCTGCGCTAGGTGCTCTGCAAACAGAACACAAAGAGAATCCTTGTCCCAAAGAGCTTGCATTCTAGGTACACGACAAGAGTTAACAGGTGGATACAGAAAGACAGACAGGTGGGTCGCAAGGACACAAAGCAACCATAACGGTTAACATAATAGGCAGTGGTCTCAGAACAACAGCTGCCTAATCATTACCAAATTTTAATTCTGATTGGATTCTAATCCCTGGCTCAGAACCTGGGTAATCCAAACTCGGGTGAGCTGGATCTCTTGCTTTCATGGCACTTCACCAGCTACCAGGGCACTTCTAGTTGAGGCTGTTTTCAGTTTAGATTTAGGTTTTTTGCTGTATTCCCCTGACCGTCAGTCTAACATTAGTTCCCAGTGAATGATCCAGAAAAGAGAGATTGGTTTGCTAGAGGGGGTGAGGGGTGGAGATCAGGATTCATTTAAAATAATTTGCAGCATTTTCATTTTAAACAACCGTAGATTAGAAAGTCTGAGTTTTAGCAGAGCAATATCAGAATAGCCCTAAAATTTTGTCTGAGTTATGACTAGTTTCACAGCAATAAAGGACAGATTCCTTCCTCTTGAATGGTTAAATGTTTCAGAATATGGGCCAGAGCCGTTGGCAAAGCTCCCATTAATTTTTGGTGGGCTAAAAAAACCCCAAGCCACGTTGCACACAGTAATTCATTTTTAGCTCATATTTTTTAATGCACACTAAAAATCCAGGTGAAGGCTATTGATTTTATTGTTTACCATTTGCTAACTTAGACTTTTTTTATTTTAAAGTTGGGAAATCTTATCAATTCAAAAGAGCCCTCTGCAGCAGAAAGTAAGGGCATGCCACTATAAACTTCCAGGAAAGAGTGAGATTTCATCATGTAGTCACTTCATGCACTTTGAAGAGTAAATAAGAGCAAGTGCATGACAACGTTTATAAGCTAAGGAAGCAGCAAAATAATGAAATGCCACTGCTGATAGGAGGCATGAAGTGATCTATGCTTGTTGTAGCTGACTCTCTTCACTCAGAAGCTGATAAAAGAATGATAAACAAATCACAGTGTGTTAAAGCGCTCAGTGTTTGTACTTTATTTATGATGTTCATAAATAAACAAAACGTTATGAGACAGATATGTGCAAGTAGATGCTTGGGACCTTTGCTTCTTATCCTTCACAGTAAAAGACCTCTACTGTTCAGGTCTCCAAATGATTTGGGTTGACTTGTATTTTCTACATGAATAAAGCGGACAGATTTTTCAGTCAAATAGCAAATTTGCCCCCCAAAATGCAGTTTTGGAGTGACAAACTATTCATGAAATTGGGTCAAATTTGGCAAATAATTTCAGCTGGAAAAAAATACAAAAACATTTTTTGAAAAAGTTGAACTATTTCATTTCGGAATGAACCATTTCATTTAGAAACAAAAAGAAAATGGCACATTTGACCTGAACAGAATTTTGATTTTTGTTGTTGTTGTTTTGGTAACAAACAAAAAAAAAAGGAAAAAAATCCATTTTGGTTTGAAAGTAAATTAATTTTGGAGGGAATTTTTTAGGTTCAGTCAGCAAACCAAAAAATCAATTTTTTACTTTGCTCTACACATGAGTTTTAAAATGTTGGCTGCTACATCTGTATCTATGCATTTCAGAACAAAATATGAGGAAAAAAAAATATGACATGTACCTGTCTTGACATTTGTTGGAAGCCAAGTTCCAAGTTCAAAATACTCACTGATGTACACTTCTGATGTAGA